CCTGCCCAGTCAGCTGACATGTCTCTCTCCACAACTGATACATCAAAACAAAGTCCAGATTTTACTTTGACAGAGCAAGAAAGTTCTGGTGACCTAACTACCGAGATGTTCACATCCAAGCCACCAGCGATTGAGAGTATCACGTTTGGAGAAGTGACCGGTGAAACGGAAACCTTCGTTTCAGTCACAACAACCTCTGATGAACAGGTTTCCTCACAGGAGGGTGAATTTGCTCCCGATACCCCCATCACTTCTGAAGCCACTGGGAAAGATGAAGTTGCTGTATCTGAGCACATAATGCAGTCTTCTTATACAACTATGTCCCCTCATACAACTGCAGCCTCAGTTGGTGATCACACTACAGTTGACTTCACTACAGTAAGCTCCAGCAGTGAACATGAGCAAGATGAATTAACATCAGTGTCCACCCCAATTCCCTCCATCATATATCATAGTGTTACAGACCAACAGGTTGTGATCATTACACCCAGTAGCAGCCGACCGAAGACTGACCTAAGTGAACAAACACCTACCATGGTCTTGCATGTGTCTCAACCATCAACCAGCACAAGCACCATATTCACAGAGGATGTAACAGATGAAGATGAGCTATTCTCTGCAGTTACAGAGAGTATGAAGGAAGGTACTCCTGTGCATATCACAAAAGATGATACCATCATTGATGCAGATGTTACCTCCATAGTTCCCTCCTCTTCATTTTACCCAACCATCAAGACAGAGGAAGCTGGAGGCATCACAGCCGTTACAATGACACAAAAGTTGGAGGTAACAGAAGAAGCAGAAGGTTCAGGGACCGACAATGACACCTTCTTTACTCCTACACCAGTAACGTTACAAGCTACCTCAGCCACTGATTTGACATCAGCATCAACATCTTCTGAATATTCACAGTCCACTTCAAAACCATCACCTATGCAAGGAGTTTCTACTGAAGAGATGGTCACATCGTCTCCACATGCCACCCCAGCTACCACCGTGTCCACAAAGTTGAGCTCTGAAGAAACATATGATTCAACCACACCACATACAGTTTTCCCTATCGAAACTCACACCAAACCAGTTCCAGAGCTGGTGGAGGATGATTTATCAGGTGAAGACACCACTGATAAAGTCGCTGAGTCTATCACTGAGATCTCCACATCCTCGTCTTTGCCATCTCAAGCCTTAACTGAAACAACAGACTCCAGCTCTGTCACTCCAGTATCAAGTGAGGAATATATGGGCACTACAGATGAAACAGAAAAACCCATGACCCCATCACCCACAGCCATAATGGCCACAAGTCCTGACACAGCTGATGAGACCAAAGGTTCCACACAAGCCACTGTACCTTCAGTCACTGTCACATCACACATACTAGTGTCCACTGAAGCTGGCACAGTGAAACAAACAAGTGAAGTAACTGATGACGAATATTCAGGTGAGGATTCTGAAGAAGGCTCTACATTGTATAATTCAGAGACAACTTCAGCATTCTCTGTGGATGGATGGAGTGCATCTGAAAAGCCAGTGAAAGCTACAGCCTCCTCACTGTTCAGCACTGAGAAACCAACTGTTGCCCCTGACACAGGAGATACAAATGAGGAGTTTTCAGGTGGCCCAAACCAAAGTATGTCCACTGAGGTTGTAATTACAACAGTTAAGGCCGAGAAAATCTCACCAACCTCACCTAGAGGTACCACAGGAGAGGTTGCAAAGTCACCAACAAGTGCTTCCTCATCCATCTATAGCACAGTGAAACCGTCTGTCACTTCTCCGTCAGACGTTACTGATACTGACACCTCAAGTGGTCAAACATCTGGTATACTGACAGCTTCAACAGTGAAGGCCAAACCAACAACAATTTCAGTTACATCACCTGAAGCTGGCACTGGGGAGACTGAAATAGCAGTATCAGGTTCTGCTTCCAGTCTTTATAGCACCGAGAAGCCAACTGTCACATCCTCTCCTGATGTTGGATCAGATGATCACACTCATGTGACAGAGCCCTTGACACACACAGCTGCTCCTCTGCACAGTACAATAAAAATGGAACAAATAGTATCCACAACAACATTATCTCCTCCCTACAGCTCTGATACATATTCAGTGGCAAGTATCACAGATGTTCCAGATGTGGTGAGCTCTGAGGTTGAGATTGCAGATGCCACAACTGCATCACCTATGACAGTGACATCTGAGAGTGAAAAGACTGTAGCCACTCCTGTGTTCAGCACAGAGAAACCAATCACAGTGACCCAAGAGGATGAAACTCAAATGAATGAGATAACCACAGAGGCAAAGACAGCGTCATCATCAGAAACAGTTTCACCCTCTACCGATGGAGCAACATCAACCCCAGCACACGAAGAGAGCACAAGTGACCACATCAAATCAGAATCAGTTTCTACATCCGCAGTTTCTTCTCTACAAAGCACTTCAAAGCCCGACGTGATGGTTCAGTTTGTCACCACTTTTGTCCCAGAACCAGAAACAACACAACCTGAGGTGTCCTTCCAACAGGCAAGGTCTGAGATTGCATTCACTCATCATCCCCACACTGACATTTCCTCTGAGAAAACTGTGTTGGCCACAACTAGCCCAATGTTGCCCAGTGAGGAATCAGGCCAGCACTTTGAACCTAGTGATGTGACTCCCCAGATTGGAGTTACCACCACATCGCTGAAAGATAAGACGGATGAAGCACTAAGCCGAGCACCTGTAGCCAAAGAAGTTTCAACTGACACTGAAGGCAGCTCAGACAAAGACAGTAAAGTCCAGGAAACATCGACCTATGCTGTGATGACTTTGCCTCCTACAGATGAAATAGAAGACTCTAAAGGGACCAAGTCGGCTGGGGTTGAATCCATAACTCAAAAACCAGCAACTGAGAAATCTGCAAAACCTGAAGAAGAAACTGCAGCTGACAAGACAGCAACTTCTGCAGAGTCGAGCTCAGTGGAAACATCAGAGAGTTCAACTGAACAAACTCTAGAGGAAACAAAAGAGCATCTGTCCCCAACTGGGTCTTCACTGTTCAGCACTGAGACTCCATCTGTGGCTCCATCAGATGTGACTGATCAAGAGGGTTCTGGAGAGACATCAACAGCATTACTCATAATGGTGACAGGAGAGAGTGAACAGACTGCCACTCCTCCCTCCGCCACTGTGAAATCAACTGCAGTGTCACTTGAGATAGACACTTCAACAGATAAAGAGGGCTCAAGTTATGAGACATCAGAGACTGAGGAGATCTCTGTATCAACAGAAACGAGTATTATCATTTTACCAGAAGAAAGTTCTGGCAAAGGGACATCTGGTATCACTGATTCTGACTCTGTCACTGCAACTGTTTCATCCCTGTCCAGTACAGTTAAGATGAATAGTATCACCAGTACTTTAACACACACACAAACCGATAAACCAGAATCATCTACATATGAACAAAGCTCAGGTCACACGTCACCTGAGAACTTCATCACTGAAGCATATGGAACACAATCCCCTGCCGTGGCCAGCACTTTCGAGTCAACAGAGACTTCTCTTGAGTCAGGGTCAACAGATTCTGAAAAAGAGGAGACACAGGATTCAGACCCAATAAGTACGCATCAACCCACTGGTGTTATACATGCCGCAGAAACCTCTACAAGCTCAGACACTAATGTAGTATTCACCACAAACTCAGCTGTTCTTTCAACATCAGCATCTTCACAACCTGATGTTTTGGTCCAGTTTGCCACAACAGTTTCTCCTTTACAGGCCCTAACAACTCCTGAAGAATCATTTGAACAAGTCAAGTCAGAGATGACACTAACACACCGCCCTGACACAGATCTTTCCTCTCAGGATGTGTCACTGACCACAACTCACCCTAGTTTTGCAAGTCATGCAATAAGTCAGTTTACAGAATCAACTACTGTGCCTGCTGCCGCTTCTTCAGTGGCTGAAGGTGTATCTGCGTCAGCTGAAGATGGGCCGGTTGAACCCACTCTTGAACAGGTTTCGAGTGGTGCAAAGACTGAATCATCTCCAGATACAACTGTCCAAACAGCACCTCCTCCAGATGATGACTATTTGCCCCCAGATTATGAAGGACCTGGCTACATGGTTTACGCAGTTCCAGAACACAATGAAACTACAGCACCAGAAAAAGAAGCTGTGTTCATGACTGCACCACCAGATGTTTTTCAAACATCTGAGAGTAAGCCTGTTGACTCAGTGAGCAGCACTGAAAGCAGCTCAAAAGAAAAGGCCACTCAGTCACCTGTAGAAGCAGTAGCTATCACTGTCATGCCTTCTGCACCAGCTCCCTTCAGTGCATCTGGTTCTGAGAGTGGTTCAGAAAGCATCAGCACCTCAGAGGAAAGCATGACCATAGAAAGCACTGTTAAGATGGGTGGTGATGAGCTTGAGAGTATCACCTCCTCAACTAAGTCACCCTCCGACTTTAGCACTGGGCCTGAAAGTGAGTCTGTCAGCTCTGACAGTGGGTCTGGAGAGTTGATGACTACAAAGAAACCAAAGATCTACGGACTGGAACAACAGCCTCTGTCCTCAGATGAAATCCAGACTATATTCAAGGTAGATGCTACCACAGATTCAAAGGTGGAGACTGCTAGTGTTGATAGCACCTCTGGGAAAGAGGAAGATGTGGATAAAATGAAGGGAGATGTCTCACCTCACACTGAAATGCCCACAAGGACCCATACAGACTTCACAACAGTGTCACCAGCTCAGACGCAAAGCCAGTCAGTGTTAGTTGAATCTGTAGCTACCACTCCGTCATCTTTCTCTGGTGGAGATGACAAAGTGGACAGTGACTTCACTGCCCAGCCAGATCTAGGATTCGATTTGGGACACACCGTTGTTGGCGAGACTGTTGAAATTTCAGGTAAGTTTCTGTAAATGGCTTTAATTGAAATACAACAAAATGTGTAAGCTCAGAATAATGTTCTGTTTAATACAATTTACAATTTGCATTTTTTTAAATCTCCTAACAGGAGTTTACTCATGTACAGAGGACATTTGTCTGAATGGAGGATCTTGCTACAAAACTGGCAGCATCCATACCTGTAGCTGTGCTCCTGGTTACAGTGGTGATCGCTGTGAGACAGGTAGAGAATTGTTTATCAAGAATTCCTCTCACAATATCTCGCTTCATTAATGTTAACCCACAAGAAGCATAAAATATATCCTAAAATTTGTTTTATTGTCTTGGGGACTGCAATTTGTTTTGACCATTTCCTGTTATTAATTACGTCTGTTTCTTATGCAGATATTGATGAGTGCCAGTCAAACCCTTGCCGTAATGGAGGTACATGTGTTGACGGGATAGCTTCCTTCACATGTGTTTGCCTCCCAAGCTACTCTGGGCTGTATTGTGAGGAGGGTAAGTTTGTGGTAATTTCATGGATTCTCCCCCTAACTTCTTTCTGAGTATTCTGTTTCAGACTAATGAAAGTTTTTCATTTCATTATTGTTGTAAGTGGTTCCAGCTATCCATATAAACTGTCTGGACTCATCCTAGATGATTTTCATACGACATGATAGGACCCTTAATGTAATCACTCACTTGGGGGATGAACCAGAATAAATAGGCTATGTGTCATTCAAATGTTAGACACACCATCACAGCTGATCACTCCAGCTGTATACAGTCAACTGTTGTCTTAGGTTTCCTTAGGCATTGACTGAGTAAAATATAAATGGAATAAACACAATCTTTATCTCATCACCGCAATGACACACAAGCATCCATGAGCTTTAGTTTCTGAATGTTTCAGACACACAGACAGTTGACACACACACCCTGTTTCGATCAGTTTTTATTACATCAGTGTAAATGTGGTATACACTGCAGATATGCTACACATCCAGTCACGTCTTGTCCATCTAGGGCGAGATTAGAAATTACACAAGTGTCACTGGGTAACTAAGGTTATCTATACAAGGCATTTCTGGAATACAGTGGAAGAATTTATTCTGAAGTTCCTATACCCTCATAACTTTACTTTCATTTCCCAGATGCGCCCTACTTTCATCCCAAGTGTGTTGAACTCAGGGCATCATCTGCCTTGGCTGATTTTTCTTGACCAGTGTCTACACCCTAAATTTTGTCAGAATCACTCAAGAGTGAATCACACCCAGTTTGTGTACTCATACACAGCTGCTGTCTTAGAAGGTTTTGCCAAAGGAAAGGGAGAAAAAGCAACTTGAGGTGGAGCAACCAAGAGAGAGGTTCTGCCTCTGTCAATGTTCTGAGGCTGGATTGAGGAGGGGAGGGAGGGACTAACAGACAGTAAACTGATTTATTGCAGTTTGGATGCATGAACACAGTCACCATCAAAGGGTCAAGATGACAGTGGTATCAATTGTGACTGGGAAAAGCTCCAGGGTTTGATTTATATATGATCTCTTTACAGCTGCATGCCTCATGCTCCATTAATTTACCCAGGAGTCTGACAGTAATTTGGAATCTTAATTTACGGATTTGCTTTTGTGTGTATGAATACCTGTGAGTGAGTAATCTGAGAAGAATCATCCTATTTAGCACAACAATTACACCTTTGAGTAGTTGGCACTTAATAGGATTCCTTTTTGTTTTGTTTCAGCTGCCTTATAGTGCTGCTGTCAGGAGCTGTAGGAACTAATCCATCACATTGTTTCTCTTTCATCTTTATTAGAGACAATAGACAACAATAGATAACAGCAGGCCCGAGGGCTGGTATACCTAGGTGAGAAGAGCACTGTAGATGCAGTTGATTAGATGATGTCATGATGGTGAGGTCAACATATGCAAGGATGGAAGTTAACAGCTAAAAGTTTATCTTCCTTTGAAAATGTTTATGCATTTCACGTCTTTTGATCTTTTGCAAATCTGTTTTTCCTGTATGCCTCATTCTGTCTCTCGTTTTCTCTTCCATCAGATACAGAAGTATGTGACTATGGCTGGCATAAATTTCAGAGCCACTGCTACAAGTTCTTCCCCCACAGAAGAAACTGGGACACAGCAGAGAGAGAGTGCCGCATGCAGGGGGCTCATCTCACCAGCATCCTCTCCCACGAGGAGCAACAGTTTGTCAATCGTAAGTTAAAGATCCCAATTGTAGATAAGCGTTCATAAGAACAAGTCTTAGTTTAGAAAACCTCTATGATAAGATTGAAATAGTAAAAGTTCTTTGTTAAAGGTAGTTGTACAGTAAACAGTAAATGCAGAAAAATGATCCAGGCAATAAAAATGCCATAGCTATCCATGGTTCCTTCTTGCACTTTGTGAAACTGAGCAGTCCTAAAAAGGACATATGGCAACAGAGAAATGTAATCTGCTGTGTCTCACTCTACCCTGTATGGCAGGTCTTGGACAGGACTACCAGTGGATCGGCCTGAATGATAAGATGTTTGACAGCGACTTCCGCTGGACTGACGGCAGCCCTATGGTAAGATAGGTTTCTTTCTCACATATTTTTGTCTCAACAAACATGGCACAGGGACAGTGTAAATATTTGGAAGTGATGCTGGTGACAGATAGTCATCTAGGGAGAGTCGTTCTTTTCAAGGGCTGTGGTGACTTTCTCATGACGTACTCTCCTCTGCCTCATATCGCTACACCCTGGTGGGTGACTGCTGTGATCATAAATCTGACGTGGACCATGCTGTAAAGGCACCATTGAATCCTTTTTAGTCAGCGTGAGTCCAGCGCAAGAAAACAATTAGCTCCAAGAATGCAAAAAAGATGACAGTTGAATGTAAAAAAAAGGGGTATGCCCGGGAGAAAAATGCACACTGTAGTGTTTATAAAACAGCACACAAGTCCATGTTTGCTACAGTGTTTGTAGCTGTTGAAGACCCCCCTCACAAGACAGGAAAGTGGCTAATTACTATGTGCATCCATGGTGCACAGACTCATGTCCTCACTTCAAAGATAATTCTCCAGGACCAGAGATAGGGGAAGTATAGAGACAGCCTAAGGGTTAAAAGATAAGCACAGACCGCCTATGGGGACCCTTGCCCAGCTGAGAGATTGAGGGGTGATGAGGATGTGAGCAACACTGTGTGGAGGGGAGTTTGGCAGGCGTAGACAGGTATGGACCCCCTTTAACCCCTACACACAACAGGGGGGCCAGCCAGCAGGAAGCCACCCGGGGGGGGGGGGCATCAGACAGGCAGCTACACACAGATGGACAGCACCTGTGCTCAGCTGCAGAAAGAGAGCCCAGGGGGTTAGGGTGGGTGGTCACCTCCAGCGGATTTAAGTATAATAAATGAGACTGAGTATTTACATTTAGAAAGAAAATAAAAAATTGATTTATTTCAGCAGCAGGGTATTGAAACACCCAAGTTGAAGTGTCTTTGGATGTGTGTGTCTGTGTCTGTGGGTGATCAAAGTTTGTTTGATTATTTTGAGGAAGATGTAGGCCTGCTGTGCAATTGATGGGTCACGTATTTGTTAACTTGAAGTGAACAGAGCAGGAAGTCGGTGTGTGTGTTTGTTAACCATAATGACAGAGTAGCAGAGCCTCGGGGCATGATTTGGAGGGGGAGGGGTTCACAGCTTTGAAGAAACTGTTTGAACCTAGAATGCGCTGAAAGACTGCAGGTAGCATCAATTCCTGCACTACAGCTGTGTGTATACTGTACAAGTGTGTAAATGTACAGCTGTGTGTATGGAATTATGTGCCTGCAGAATTACACATGTAATGCTAGGTATGCGATGTGATGAAATGACATTACACTTATGTTTTTCTATTATCACAAAGCCCTTAAGTCCTCAACACACAGTCCCTGGAACATGGATACCATCATGCCAACTATATAAAGTCACATCAGTGTGTGATATAAGTCACTGGTCTATATTGTGTTTCAGAAGCCTGTTAAAAAAATCCTACTCAGTATTATATTTAGACATATTGTGGCTTACTGTGAGATTTGCAGCACAGTAATGTAGCTGCCTGTGACATTAACATAGTTTAGAAACCCATTTCTGTGTCTTGTGTTAATCATACAGAGCCTGCAAGAGTCCCTCAGAGCTGAACTATGATGATGTAATAACTGCTGAGTTGAAGTTGGCTCCTACAAAGAAACAGTTGTTCCCTCTTGTGGCCATTAATTAAAATTACAGTGACGAGACACTGCTGCCAAAACAGCACAGCATCTCTATTTTTGGGATCACGTCTGTGGAAGTAGATAGGTGGTAGTAACAATACATGGACTCATTTAGTAATTTGTCATTCAGTTTATCAGGCAGACCAAATATACACAATATGCAGCTTCTACTCCTAAAATAGGTTATGATGATAAAAACGATTCAAAGCATCTGTATCTATGTCAGGGGTATTAACGGCACATTTTATGACAGGTTTGATAAGATACATTCAAAGAAAAAGGTCCTCTAAAGGACACATAATCCATCACCATGTCTTTCTCCTTATACTCTGCTCTTTTATCTCTATTTCAGCAATATGAAAACTGGAGGCCCAACCAGCCTGACAGCTTCTTCTCATCTGGCGAGGATTGTGTAGTGATGATCTGGCATGAGGACGGCCAGTGGAACGACGTTCCTTGCAACTATCACCTCACTTTCACCTGCAAGAAGGGCACAGGTAACAAGACACTTGCACAAATCGTCTCATACTTTACTGAATGCATGCATTAAGAGAGGAGAAAATACAAATCTCATCGAGTCGTCTGTTACTGCAAAATTCCTTGTAATGCAATGTTTATTGTCACTTCTGTTTCTCAGTGTCCTGTAGCCAGCCCCCTCTGGTGGAGAATGCACGAACATTTGGTAAGAAACGTGAGAGGTACGAGATCAACTCGCTGGTGAGGTACCAGTGCCGGACAGGCTTTATTCAGAGGCACGTCCCAACTATCCGTTGTCGTGGGAATGGACGATGGGATATCCCTAAAATCACCTGCATGAACCGTAAGTACAGCAAGACTTGCATTTGAATATATATCTTTATATGCTTTCTTCTGTGTGTCTAGTACTGTACTGGATTTTTACAAACACTATCACTGTTTTAGTGTTTCACTGCAATATATGAATTTTCTCTGACAGCATCAAGCTATCAGAGGACCTTTATCAGAAGACATCAACACAACAGTCTCTACAGCATCAACAACTTCCAAAGATGGCCAGATGAGGCCATCCGCTTTCACCATCAGCGCTTCCGGGGAAGGAGAGACAGGACTGAACATAAGAAGAAGAGACAGTGATTGCCGTGTAATAGGGCACATCTTACCCGAGACAAGAACACATGGCTGATGCTTGTGTAGAAAGAGGAAAAGCATTCTCACAGGAAAAGCACAAGAGAAAACTCATCAAAGAAACCAAGAGGACAATCTGCAGTTTTCTTGCATTTTGGATGACGATGGAATCTCATGCAGTGCCTTTTTAAAGAGATGTTGACACATGACTTTTCTTATCAAGGGGCACTGTTTTATATCAATGCCAATGTGGATAAAATACTTTCAGCTGGCTACTGGAAAAAGCAAAAAAATATTCTCATCATTCTTTTTTAAACTGCGGACGTTTTGTCTTTGTCCTTAGCTTATCAAACAATACAACCATGTGCTATTTAAAATCACCATAAGTGTATGCATAGAAAAAAAGCTTTTGTGAGATTATAGCGCTTATGTTATGTAAAGGAATCAATTATGTCGTCGTGCTGTTTTAAGCTGGACTTCATTTTAATGAACATGCATACATATATGCATATATATTTAAGGCTTCAACCTTTAACTATGTTTATTCTTTATCAAGAGGTTTGGCTTCTCAGAACACAAATGGAAGCATCAGTGGCAGTGATTGATAATGCAAAGGACTCATACATTGGTAGAGTATTATTTCACATGCATAGAACTATAAACTTTTATAAAGACTCTATCCTCAGTCTTCAAATCTAATCAGCAGAGATACAAATCATATTCTGAAACATAGTGTCATAGCTTTGCGAGTGGTAGTTATTCAGATTCCAGATTAATAATACACCCAACTCTGGGGAAATTGCACCAAATTGCTCAGTTAACTGCTGGAGACCTTCTCTGTGGCGGCAGCTGTCAAAGCACCAAATTACCACCTTTCAGTATCTCCAGCCTTCACTGGATGTCATTGATGTCTTGTCAAGATAAATTTCTATTGATAGATTTCTATAGAGAGATTTTTTTTTTTTTAAACTTACTGATATTTCCTTTGATTCTTTGCGATTTATTATGAGAGATCAATCTCTAAGTACCTATTGACAAAGCCTTTATCCACTGATGGAAATCAATGTCCATCATCTGCTTTAAAATGAAAGAAGGGAAGTGTGGCTCAAGTAACTTGTATTTTCTGCTCATGTGTGTTCAGTGCATAACTTACAATTAGTTGCTACAGCATGTTTACAATAATTTTAATGCTGTTCATAATCATACACCAAAGAGTCTGGCTCTCATCTGTTGCTGATGTCTAGCTTACAATTGGTCTTTTTCTTTTCTTCTGCACACTTTAACTTTTCTGTCATTGTGGTCAATTGAAATCAGCCACTGAGAGAATGTATTTTGTGAGACACTCAAAAAGACTTGAACGTAATGGCTTTTTAGGCAGAAACACGTTGAATTTATTTTCGAGCTGCTCTTGATCTCCTTAGTGACAGGTAAAATGCGATGCTGTCACGTAGCCCAGCAGTGCTTTTCATATATTTTTATTGTACATTCAACAGGAGACCAGCCACAATCACAGACTGTCTAAATGGGATGCACTGAGGATGAAACATTTCCAAACAATATGATGGATTTATACGTCTTTTTACATCTTCAATGCCAACAGTGGACCAAAGAATAAGGAGGGCCCCATCGGCTGCAATAATGTTGTTCTGTAATATTAACAAAATATTTGTACATGTGGATGGTTATGTGTGTCTCCAGCCATTTTTTTTTAAATGGAGAAATGTTTTGTTTTGTCTGCCTGTGAATGTCTGTGTGTGTGTGTTTCAGCCTTAATGTGCACATAATATCATTTTATATTTATAACAGTTTGTTTTTTTCATTTTACAATGTGAATGTCTGGGATGTTTGTGAATTTTTTTTTATTTTTTATTTTTTAAGAAAACCAAACTGTTTTTTTCTGCTTTAAATCACCAAAGAAATAAAATAAATATATGGATATTATATACTAAGAACATTTAATTTGGACTTTATAAAGAAATGTTGGGAAATTGTTCCCGGGTGTTGTCCGTGTTCTCCCTGTGCTTGTGTAGGTTTTCTCTAGATGTGGTGGTTGTCCATGGTTCATGGTCTATGGTTCATCTTTCTGCTTTGATGGAGAAGCAAACATCTAACAGTATTTCTCCGTTGCATGCCTGGTAAGTGTCCCTGAGCTGGAATATGCAGGTAAAAAGAATGAATGAATGAAACATTTAGGTCCTCTTGCACTAAGGCAAATTGTGTATAGAGTAAATAGTGTTGTGGTTTCACCAGCAGGTAGTGCTATCAGACTAAGCCATAGTTTCTGTCTGCTCAGTACCAGGGAGGAGATATTTCATTCCTGTCCTTATAGCACCCACACAACTCATGCAAGCACTGAGCATAATGTGAATCTTTTTAAACTGAATTCTCTGAATCACACTCTTTGGAACATCGTCTCATTTGAAAGTATTGCGGTGTCTTGCATATACATCAAACTGAAAAACCTATCAGACATGCTCTACAAAACCTGTTGGTAGGCAGACGATACATTCAGGGGGAGCAGGCAGGAAGCAGCGGTGTGAATTATAGCAAATATATGGAGTAAGAACTGGATTAGGGATCATAAGTGACACTTATGATGAAATGGCTGATGCTGCACAACTGTGGATCTGCATATAATTGTATCGCACTACATTTTTTTTCAGTCAATAGCGTGGCTGAGGGTGGCTCTTCTTGAATGTCAAACACTTCTTATGCCTACATGGCGGTGCATAAAGTAAGAAGATTAATTCCCTCGGTGTAAAAACAGAAGCTTTTTGAGCACATTACCCTTCACCACTGTTTCCAGAGCACCTCCTTATACAGCAGCGCCTTGAAGTTCACACTGACACTGCCTAATAGCACCAAAGCACCATTACCAAGATAATAACATCAAGTTGGTCGATGTAATCTTTGTGTAAGTTTGACTTGCTGTGGTTTTCACTGTGGCTGCCTGCTCTGTCATTAGAGAGGACTTAACTTGTGATCAAAGGCTGGTCCTAGATTCCCCAGCGAGAGTAAAACCTACAATCTCACCTCATGAAATGCAGATGTCTCATGGGTGATCGGCAGAAAAACCTAGACTTCTCTGCCCAGGTCTCTCTGGTATTTAACAGGCTTTCTAGGTTTGTTTTGGAAAGGAATTGCATCCTGGCTCTTACTGATTTCTTAGGCTTGACAGGTGCCCGAGACTCTGTCTAGCCCGATGCAGAGTGTCTATCATTCACTCATCACCCTGCTATTTTCCTGCCACATGTAACTTAATCTGGATACCTGTGAGTGACAAGCCTTTGGGATGTAGCGTCATCAGACTTGCTGAATGTCAGCACAACATTTGATTGGTTGAAACCACAGAAAGAAAACAAATGAAATGTTCAGCATTACTCCTGCAGGATCAGTCAAGGACAATGGTGGTCTACAACAGCAACTGCTCATTGATTCAACTGTCTGTTAGTGTAAAGTGTATAATAGTATGGTTTACCGCTCAGATTTAATTTGAGAATTCAACATCATTATTAACATTTTCTATGCTGAAAAAAAATTGTGAAAACACTGTCGCTCTCTGCTGTAGTGTCCACAGAACAAAAAGCTTGCATCAATGGACATTTCACCATAACACACATTAACATTTGTCTGTCGTTTCACTGCTGTATCGATCTAAATCTGACCCCATTCCCATGCATTCCCACAAGCCTCTTACAGACTGTCTTACTGTTCCCTTTGTCTTACTCTGTGGTGGGCTGGCAGCCTGGCACTGAATTAAAAAAATGCCAAAGAACAAATAAATGTGAGGAGAGTCTAATCTTAAATCCTCTCGACGACATGGGCTCATGCCAGATACATGGCCCCTAATTTGGCATCTGAAACAATGCTGCTTAAATCTCTGCTTAAACCTCAGTATCAATACATAATGCATGCTGATTTGGTTCCAGTGGGAAAAAAAATGTTCATTGTTGTGGTAAAAAAAAAGGAGCAGTTTCAAAAATGTCTTTTAAAAGTTATGTTCTTTATTTCAAACTGCTTCGTTGAAAAAGGTACATGGCGATAAGATATAAAAAAAACATACCTCCACCTTTACTCATGCAAAGTGTGTACAAATGCACAAGTGTGACAGAATTTTTTTATATTTAGCTTTTACAAATAATGCATCACCATAATACCACATGCAACCTGCAGTAAGTACCACATGTCAGTGCCCATGGTTAGAAAAAGTAAAAAGGGATAACGTAACAAAAAGCAAAATAAAAAATATCAAAAATTTTTAACTAAATACTTAGAACATGTGCTATCTTGTGGCTCACCATTACCAGCTTTGTAAGTCAAAAGCATCCATGGGGAACTATTAGTGAAAATGTAAAGTGATTTTTTTTACTGGTTTCGATTCTACTTTATCCCCAAACACATATTCACATCCTGTCACTACAGCATATCTATGACTCAATGAACATCTATGACTATGAATAAATCCTTATGTAGGAGTGTGAGTGATCATCCGTATTAATCAGATACCAGTAGAAATTTACAGCTCACAACCTCAGTATTAATTTGTGAAACTGTTTCAGCAGTCAGAAAGGATTTCAGCCCATACACGAGTTAGTTACACCTACTGTCATGTTAGGTTTCTTGTCTATCTTGCTTCAACTGTCAAACAATCAAGGGTGTATTTAGGTAAAAGACTGTTGAGGGCAAATAGGAAAAATCTGTACTTATCCCGTACTCACTATCCAGCTAAAAATATTGTTGTTTTGTATGTGGTACATATAAATTGTTTTAAAAAAAAATCTGCAAATGTCAAACAAAATCTATATTTTTATTTAAAAAGAACATGAAAAACTGTAGAGACAAACATTAAAAAAGTTTTTTAAAAAAACAAAGAAAAAAACATTTTGTTAAAACAAACTTATCGCAAAAGGTTGCAAAAAATGTAAAACTGCCTTTCAAATTGTAGCTGGGAGTTGATCTAATGGGAAATATCAATTAATGCAGAATAGCTCACAGTCCGAGAAATTTACATTCATTTTCTTGTTAAACAGTAAATTTGATCAAAGCTCCTCAGATCTGCAGTTGAATAGGTGGAAAAAGAGAGAAGAAAAGAGAAAAAAAACTTGACAGAGGGTTCCAGTTACTTACTTACTGCAATATAACATGTTGATATCAATAGCTCAACAGTGGTAGCCATGTCATGTTCGTGACTGTCATCAAACTAGGGTCTTTCATTGACGTGGTACTTGATAAAATAAAATGAACTATCACATGGTTTTTGTTCTTTCAACACATTTTTAAAGCAGCAAATGTCATCTGCAATTGAGCAGAAATGCTCGAAATCTTGAACTTCACACATCTAATCATTCTGTGGAGGACAAACCAAACTTGAATGATGTTTCACGACCATTAAGTTTTTGTCTCTGTCACATCACTCATACATTAACACTGTTGCCCTTGCCCCAACAGTCTGTGTAAAATTAATGAATCCACAGTTAGAGTAAAACAAAATTTAATGACTACAAAATATTTTGCCATTCATTGCATATGGATGTAAGATGTACAGTATTGTGTTTTTTTAGGAGTTAAAAAGGGTTATCACAGCTTCCAATATTGAGTTCATGCTAGTTAAAATCCAAAGCTTATCTGCTTTATTGTTGATTTTATTTGTTGTGGTTGTTGCAGCTCTTTGGTGGTTATGGCTTCCCTACTCCTATCTACCCTCTCACTGCTCTGCCTTGAAGCAGTAGACGCCGTAAACCTTTAGCATCTTGTCTGGGAATCCAACAAACCGCACTGCAGCTTCTGTGGGGCTGCAGTTCTTGCGGGGCCTGGAGATGGGGTAGCGGACACTTCCATCAGCCAACCAGCCAGCATCACAGCGATCGTAGCCCTCGATCTTCCAGGCGGCATATATGTGGCCCACCTTGGCGATCTCTGCACCGTCATCTAAGCATGCCTGCACGGCCTCGTCAAAAGACAGCCTGTCGGGCTGGACCAGCCAGTAGAAACGTCCTGATGGCAGAGACACAAAACGGGTGATCAAGAGAAGCATTTGATGGCCTCACTCTATTCTCACTGGTTTCTTGGTGCAAGCGCACCACAAGAACAGTCGACAGCCTAAATAACAAATCAGCAGGGTGGAGAAACAAATAAAAACCTCACCCTTGATTGCAGAGGTGTAGCAAAACACATCATAACGGCTCTGTTTGTCTTGATAACCATAGTTTCTGACGCCAGGCCCATCAACGGTGCCACCGCAAGGCGCCCTGGGTCTGGTGATTGGATACTTCACTGTGGCATCACTCAGCCAGCCAGCATTGCACCAGTCCAGACCGTCCTTCCAGGCCTCGAACAGCTGATCATAGGAGGCGACCACAGCATCCTGCTCCTCACAGGCCTGCACAGCTTCGTCGAAGTTCAGGTTGTAGCGGCCCTCACTGGGTGAGTATGGGAACACAACGCCTGAGTGGGGCAGAGGAGATTAAATGAATATAAAAATATGTCAACCTAACCTGAACGAAAATCAATTCAGAGTTAAAAAAAAGAAAGAAAAGGAACATGAGAAGTCCTGCCTTTCTTTAACATGTAATCATGTCAGAATCTAATTGTAAATCCTTGTTATGATGACCTCAGTGAACTTTGCAAACTTCATTGGTTTAAATTTTGTCCACTTATTATGACTTATTTTCAGCCATTCAGGCCTGTAGACAAATGGAGGATGTGTGTGTGTGTGTGTGTGTGTGTGTGTGTGTGTGTGTGTGTGTGTGTGTGTGTGTGTGTGTGTGTGTGTGGTCTTGGAGTCCACTGCAGTCTCTCCAGGGAAGCTGGCTTAGCTGGCGATGACATGTTTAGTTTTATGTTAGTGAATATAGGTCTATTAGTCTTTCAGGTCCAGCAGCTTGCAAAAATGTCTTCAGAGGCCAGACTTTGCTAACTCATTCATTTTGTGCTTATCTTATCATCCTAGGAAAACTAGGTGTTAACCTCTGCTGCATTAAATATCAAAGAACAATAATAATAATTCAAAAGTGAATATCCACATTAGTACAGCTTAATTTAAGAGAAATATGTACATGATGCTGCAGACTTAATGGTAGAAATGCTTTACTCAATTCCACCTCAGTAAATTATCAAGTGTTTTTCCTGATTACCAAAAACAAATTTTAACGAATAGCAAAGTAGCAGAAGGTTAATATTATTCTGTTTTTGTTACTTTTGTCTAAAACTACATGTGCATGTCCCGCCTCCACCCAGATTGATCATTCACATGTGAAAAACTATCAACAACATGTGGGTGGGATCTGCCTTTTAGTGCAAAAGAACTGTGACATATTGCAAATATTAAATGTGTCACCATGCAAGATAGAAATATACTGCATGAGTAAATGTGTAAACGCTCACCCATGCATGAGAAGCAGCTCCTCTCTGTGTTCCACAGAAAGATATTTTATTGAGTCTAAAATCTGATGAGTAAGTCAGATGTATGAGGATATGAATTGGAAAAGATGCAAAATGTGTTTCTGTTTACTGATGTTGAACAGTATTCAAATGTAATCATGACTGACTCATTATAGAGGTTTGTATAAATCAGCACAAGCTGTCTGTTCTTTTCTCTTTCTTTTTCCACAAGAAAAGGAATTGTGGGAGTTTTCTATAACTAGAAACAAAAACAATCTTGAGGAAGTTGGTTGATCCTGAATCATGCATTTTTAACAGGGGGAGGACACGTGTAAAATAACTATTGAACATTTAATATACTGTACATTATGTCTTCCCAACTGGAATTAGAATTTACACAGATTATATGAGATAAGATAACGAGTGTCCCTAAGGTTAATTACTAAATAGATATAATAAAAAGGATTTACCATCAATGAGACCACCTTGCACCTCCAAGAATATCTCTTGCACTGTGTCCTCCATCCCGTTGATGATCTCACAGCGGTACCTTCCTGTGTCATCCATGGCAATGTCAGTAATTATTATGGAGGCATCTTCACTGTCTTTCTCCTCCAAAAAGACACGGTCCTCAAAGCTGCCATAGGTCTTCTTGTGGAATCCCATTGAAAGCAGCACATCCTCATTCAGTGCCTCATCATCTGCTACCTTGGTCCATTTGACTCGAATACCAGTGTTACCAAAGGATAAGGAGTCTTTGGACAGGAGCCCGCAGGGCAGGGTGACGTTGGCACCTAAGCCAGCAATAACCTTCACTGGAAAGGAGGAAAACATGGTATAACCTTATTAGGGCTTGAACGTAAAGTGGAAAATATTATGCAAAGTTAATATAAATTAGCACTATATTTTTTGCTGCAATTGCAAAGATTGCATCCAGAAGTTTTTGCTTTGCTTTTGTGCTTGGCATAAAACTGATGTAGCAAAGGTCTGTTTGAGAAAGTTACAAGAAAGGGAAAATGCCTCGCTTTTCCCAATTCTTCCCTCTTTATTGTTCTTTCCTTTTTGTATGTAATTATTTCACAGCATGTTTTGGCATGTGTATACTGCATTTATTATTTCACTATATACGTGCATACACGTATGTTTATGGTTAAAAGTATTCTCTTATAGAAAACTATCAAAAAGTCTGGGAGTATTCTGTTGGGTTTATTAGATACAGTATTGGACACCAGCCAAACTTAAGCCCCCGGAGCCAGTCATCCTCTTCAGTCTCCTTCCTGCTCTTGTCAGTCCTGGCACTTATAAACCTTTGGTTCCTCTGCATTAACCCTCAAAGCACTTCTCTTTCATCCGTTCCATCTGATTTGTGTAAAGTATGTCAAGCACTACCTCAATAACAGGAAAAGTAAGCTGATAATATAGTTAATGATATACAGAATCTTGCTGTCATCATTAATTTTTCTTTTGCTTATTTTCTCTGCACCCTCCCCGTCCAAACTAGCCCCCCCCTTCAACTCAAGACGGCAGGCCATTTGTATCTCACCATGGGTTCCTACAATCTCCCTAACGTCCATGTTTAGACCTCACAAGGCTTGCTTAGTTAAGAGGACCCCAACCAGTAAAGGGTGGCCTGTGCCAGGCAATAACAAATACCAGATGGACTGATGCACAGGAGCCCTGACCCCCACCCCCACAGGTACAGCCTTAAATAATCAACTTTGTAAGTGGAGTCAAACTCTGAACCACACAGGAATTGTAATATGATATGTAATTGAATAACTGAGTGAATCAACTTCTACAGCTATGACTTTTTAGCTGTAAGTAGTCTAAAGACATAACTGTTAATCTTACGCAACCAAGCAGGTTTTTTTTGGCTGAATCCAGGGTCAATGCTTAAACATCGTCCCTTGAGTGTCTGGTGCCATGTCTGCGATTCACTGAAAAATTCTAAGCTGCTCTGTTTCTGATTTATATTTCTTCCCACTTACTCAGGATGTATGATCTGTGTCTGAGCCAGTTTGTCTCTGCTCTCTGACTGAGGATGCCAGCACTGGAAGACTGTGTCACTGGCTCATCAGTGGGGAAAACGTTTCCCACATGGGCAATACAGGAAATAATAGGAGCCAATGGCTTGCTGCCTTCTGTTCTAATCAACCCTGCCTTCAACACACACACACACACACACACACACACACACACACACACACACACACATACATAGAGGAGTGACACCGAAACGACTTCTAATCAACCCCATGCCTAAACTGTCCCAATCCTCCATTCTAACCCACACAGTAGACGCGTGTCTGGACTTTGTTCAGTGGTGCTCAGATCATTAGTATTGAGCTCTCCTGCAGAAGGATTTAATTAGCAGAAGCACTGCTGACAGACCTAATCTACCCTTCAGTTCAATCTCGTGCCCACTTTATCCTTCATTTTTCCATTCCTGTCATACGGCTTCATATGCCAAAAACTACTTCTATTACTCAGTCACTCCACCCAGTAGCGTAACTCGCCTCTCGACTGATCAGCAAGATGCCAGGTATTTTACGAGCTAAGAAACACCCTTTTTGCTGTTGTTAATTACTAATGTCGTCGAAAGCAGTGCAGAGTTTAAAAGCTGTCTGGACAAGATTCTTCTTTGACCGTTCTGTCAGCGAGGAGTGACTCACAGCCTCGCTGTGCCTCATAAATTCTCTGCATGGGTAGCGGTTTGCATTAAGTGCGACTGAAACCTGAGGGATCCAGAATGACGAAACTGCTCATCAAAAGCCCTGGCGAAGGTGAAGGCGATGGTGATGTCAACATCAGCTCACCAAATTGTGATGCCATCCAACATTTACACCTAAACTTTTCCAAATTTCTAAACCTTATAGAGTAGATAGAATAAAGGCCTTCATTGTACTGTCGCATGGAAACATTGTTCTGTCCAGAGCCGAATACAAACCGCTGGATGTGGTTTAAAACCCTGAAATGTGAGACGGAAGGAGGGGATTGATTAAAATCAGTTTGCCAACATAGTGCTGAGAAAAGAGCTTGGAATTAATTACTGTTGACATACCAACCTAATACCTTATAGATCACTAAATGAAAGCATAATGAAGAACCCTGTCTCATATGATCTGGAGCAGCCTTGAAGATAATGATGCCTGAGTACCAGCAGTAGCAGACAGAGAGACAGGCATGGTGAAAGAAATCCCATGCTCTTTCCTGCTCCTGCAGTTGCCAGCAGACACAAGTCCCACAGGAGAATGTGGCCCCGACCATGTGGAGCACACTACACTCATAAAGCAACAGCCTGTTGTGTGTACTTAGTCTTTCAGGAATACAAGGAAGCCTTTCTTTTCTTTGTCACACCTCAAACAACATCCTATTTATACAAGACTCCTCCGGGGTCGAAGGTGGTGCCAAATTGTCACGTTTAACATAAAAATGGGTCGTCAAAGAATTCTGAATGGTTCCTCTCTGAAATTTCTGTGAAGACTGCGGCTGGGAATGAAACCACAGCTAAGAAGTAAATGAACACGTGTGCACGACAATAAAAGCGCTCTGCAGCTGCAGCCAAGACCTACTGCCATTTTATGACCCAGCACAATTCTCTCTCACTCTGTAAAAGCTTGTATTAGCAAGTGATTGGAACCATCTGCTTCTTTGTAACACCAAACTGTAAATTAACAGCATTACAGTGGTCCAGATCTACTCAGTGACCTACATATTCTGGAATTACAAGAGTTTAATTGCACTGTTAAACCCCCAAGCATAATTTGCACTTTAATTTATTAAATGAACCAAATGTTTAATTTGCTCAAATCTCTCATCTATGAAAGGATGGAAAGGATTGAAATCTGCAGAGAGCAGTCACTGCATGTTTATATCAGTGTGTGTGCACAATGTGCCACACCCTCTGACAGAGCAGCTAGACATGTGATGCTTTACAACATCCCACAGCTTTGCTCTCCTCTGCTGCTGGCCCGCATGTGTCAATATGTAGAAAGAATTAACAAGCACAGCTGCGACAAACACAGCGAGCCAACTCCAACACACTAATTCCAATAAACTCCTTCCTGTTGTCTCTCATGCAGAACAAGCACAAACACAAAGCGTGGGTGTGTATCACACATGTATGGTGGGCTGTCAATGGAGTCATTCGTTTAAGTTCTCTCTGATTGAATTAACACACGTGCAATGGGACTTAACATGGCTCCATCAATGTCCCCTAGTCTAAACACATTTTCCCTGCAGCCCCCAGCCTCAGCGTATTTCCAGCCAAGCCCCTTTTCCCACCCAGCCCTAGCAACGGGGCCAAGCCTCAGTAACCAACAACCACAGTAAGCATTAGACTTAACAGGCTATTACCTCACAGGGAAAGACAGAGTCATTTGGCTGCTGTTCAGCATGGGGCTCTATACATTTGGCTGCAGGTCGTTAATCTTAACTCTGCTCCTGTCAGACTGCCTGTTACCGTGGCGGGTTTCCAAAAGCTCTCAGTGCCAGAGTGAGTCAGTAGGTATAAGGACAGGCAACGCCCCGTGAACAGCCAGAGAACACACTGCTCATGTGGCCAATAAAAGCTATACTGTATGGAACTGTGATTGATCTGGCCTGAGCTGAGCCATTGAGCTTTCACATGATGCAGACAGTGAGGTCATATGCACATATGTGCAATATGCAGACACACGCACACACACACACCTGTGACATCACTCGCCACTGGCAGTAATTTCAATGTTTGGATAAAAAAGCATCATCTCGTCCCAGAGTAAAACTGTTCTCCCCACAGACGAGCCATTTCCTCCCGTCTTGAAAGAGAGAGAGCTGACACATCCCTAATTTGACATTTACTGAGTCAGCTAGCAGGGGCTGCTGAAAGCGCATTAAATATCACTCACTACATATTATAATACGAAGGTTTCTAGCTACCCTTTTTTTCCCCCACCACAGCAGTAGATCTATTCTAGTATTTCATAGCTTGCAGTTGCAGCAACCATCTCAGTCTGTCATCCTGTAGGCAGGTGTGAATTTGAATTATAACAGCCTCATGATAGAGTGCAGGTCCTCTGATAAGACTTCATGTTCTGTCTGAAATGGGAAGAAGATAAAAAAAACAGATAAAATGACAAAAAAAAAAAAAAAAAAAAAAAATTGACAGAAAGTCAAGATTTTACCGTGGGAAAGTCCTGACTATTTTTGCGCTCTCGTAAAGAGACAAGCACTACTACCCTAGTTTCAGCCTCTAAAGCACCTGTGACCCATTTTAAGAGAAAAACCAGTAGTATCAGTGATGTGGTCCTCATTCAGTAGTTTGGGCAGAGAGCCTCTGTGAATGACAGGGTGACTTATTCACCAGCCGGTCCATGCTGTGGTGGTCTGTATGCAGCAAGTCAATGAGTCAATGGTGAGTCACACTGTGGCTGTGTGTGTGTTACCCCAGAGACGACTCTGTTACCTACTCCTACAATGACCCTGTTGTTACACAAGCCTGTGCTGTGGTACCACTTTACTTAGGTCTCTTACACAGCTCATCCTCCTGTTTGTTTTTTTTTTTTCTACATGCACGCTCAAGCACACATACACACACACACACACACACATACACACACACACGCACACAAGTACACAAATACACACACACACACACACACACACATACACACACACACACACGCACACACGCACGCACACACACACACACACACACACACACACACACACACACACACACATATGCACAAAAAATACCAACAAACACACAAATTGTAATATAAATTTGTGGGTGATATTATTTTTTTTTACAGAAATGTATTCTTACCTTGAAAGGGAGGGAGCGTCACCTGACTGTATGTACAGCCAACCAGGGTCAGGGAGATTATTGTGATGCACAGCAGACTCGTCATTTTCTCTTTTTTTTCACACAAATAGCCCTCTTCAATAAAAAATATAAATATAAAACTTTGAAGTAAAATAACTGCACTAAGTTATCTAAACTGTAAATATTTAAAGAATATTTCTTCTCTTTCAATTTTTATTCAACTAGCAGTCCCGCTTCCTGTCTGTCTTTGTTCAGCAGCCGCCTGTGGTGCTACTGGAAAGTTTGGGCTCCTCAGAGGTTCAGACAAGTGGCTTTTATTGTAGCCTTGCATGGTTAAGACCACTCCCCCTCTCATCAGCCCATCACCATGCACAGCTCTATACTGGCTCCCCTTTGCCACATTATTTATGAAAGACTCCCTCCTCTCCTTTGGGAGAATGAAGGCTACAGCAAAACTACAGACAATTAACCTGCAGATAATCATCCTGGGTTATATGTTTAAAGTGGAGCTATAATGATTCCTGTGAGGAATGCTATAGAGTGATTAGATAATATCACTCAAATTGATCAGATATACATTCATCCTCATTGAGGAGGCAGTAAGTGAAACTTTTTTCTTGCATTACATCCACCCTCTCATTCCTTGCAGCCTTCGTATGTTTTCACTTTGTAAACTGATTCCATTATTTCTGTTTTTATAATCTCTTTAATGGGCTTCAATTGCACAAATCAAAGTTAATGTTCATAAGTTAAATATTGTCAACATGCTTAACTCTGAACACTGTAAAGGGCCTGACCACTTCCCCCATCCTCACACACGTGCAAACACTCACACACATACAAACTTGTGAAGAAGTGTGGCGTAGTTACTTTTGATGGAAGACCATTAAATGTAGAAGGGTTATAAAACTGATGTAGACAGAAGGTCTTGCTACAAGTCATACTTTGCCATATCCTCCTTTGCTTCTTTTATTTATTATTCTCACTCCTCTTCTTTCTCTTTCTTTTCCCATAGAATTTATTCTGTACATTCATTCAAGGCTGCATTTCGCCCCTGTCTCTCTTCCTGTTTGAAAGTGTTTAAATTTGTGTTACACATCTGTAACTAAGATGGTAAGGGATCAAGTCAGCTAATACCCACCCTCCTCACAGTTTAACTCTTCCACAGTTACTTTAAATTGTCTGAGCATGTTTCTCTCAGTCTCTTCTGATGCTGTGGCAGAGCAGAGACAACAGAGCATAGCTCTAGGGAGGGAAGACGTGGATTTGTGACCAGCCATGAGTAGAGGGGGGCCTGTGTGGTCTCTCCTAAACGTTTTCTCAGGCGTTCAGACGATCTTTGAATGATGGTGAGGCAGGGAGTGGAGCAACAGGCTGCAGATGCTGCTCTGGACCACTCTATCACTGGAGTTATTACAGCTGGGACAACCTAAACAGTTTTCTTTCTCTGTCTCTTTCTTTCTCTCCTCTGCCCTGTCTGTCAGTCTTTCAAACCCCACAAAGATGACAACAGAGAACATGGTGGGCCTCTGTTGTATATTCTAAAGTCCCAGCTTGCCCTGGGCACATCCTCTCTGCTTCTGCCTCGGATCCTCTGGAGATCTGAGGAACTGTGAAATTATAAACATACACAGCTCCAGTGTGAGGGCACATTTACTCCTGACACAGACAAAGGTTAAACCAGAGCTGCAATCACCTACTGCACCGCGGCACCAACTGTGAGAGACAGTGTAGACGTCAGAGCCAACATAGCTATAGTCCTCAACTATGGCAGTTTTACTGTTAATGACAAAATTGTTGCATATAGCAAAAGCACTTCCTTCCCTCCGAGCAACCAGTCATTTCTGAGAACACAATAACCTGGCAAACGTGTTCGACTTTTGTGTTACAATATTCTCATTCAGTCATGATTGATGAAGAAAAACAAAGAAGAATAGGTTGCAGCAGCACTGGCAGTTCTTATGCAGGGTAGACACAGCTTGCACGCATACTGGAGGTGTAAAAGAAACCAATACAATCAACAAGAAGTGTTGCTTGACTTAACATGGGTTGACAATTCATCAGAAGATAACTGTAAATATTTGGGGAGTCAACATAATTGCATTTGAAAGAGCTTGGCCATTCATGTGACAGCTAGAGTGCAACTCTGGGTTTGGAGAAAGGCCTTGTGCTTTTTGTGGGATTCCAGATTAGCATAAAAAAACTCTTCAGTGCTCTCTGCCGATTTAACATAACTGATGAAATGTTACATAATGGCAGGGAAATACATACAGTAATAACAATGGTGTGACTGATCCATAAGAGTTATAGATAGATAGATAGATAGATAGATAGATAGATAGATAGATAGATAGATAGATAGATAGATAGATAGGATGTTTTTTCTTCCACTTGCTTGTCCTGCTCATCAGCGGGAGCCAAGTTAAAGGTCTTTAACCATGACATGTTGAATCATGTTATGAAAGTAGATTTCTTGGCTGGAGAACTTAATTTCTGATGACTTGTCCAGAAGGGAACCTGGCTGATACACACTGACTATGAAACTCAAAAGTCCAATGGACAACAGATTTGAATCCCGACAGCAGCAGCCATCATTACATTACTTTATTTTCTGTTGCAACTCAAGCGACAGTGGAGATTAGTAAATGGCATCAGCATGAATACCACTTTCTGGTACTGGCAATGTCAGTAAGTTAATAAGTCTGTTCGTACAAGACATTTTCACTTCACTTTAGTAAGCACGTGTATGTCAATTATTGCATATTTCCTACTACTGTATAATCTTATGCATCTGCGAATGTGCACATTCAGGAGTACAGAATGTACTGGCCTGTTTAGGTGTATACTGAATGTCTTGAGGCTGAGAGGGTTTGGAGACCCACCCAGAGACTCCTTCAAGTCTGCTGCGTCAAGGCCAAATCTCAGGGCCATGAGCGCATTCACAGCTGGATTACTTCAGGTTAAACTCGCAGCTCTAGACTGGCTGGTATAATACCTTTTAACATATAGTAGCTCTTTGGGTGTGTGGCATCCAAAAAGTGACTGTCAAAGCCGTTGGAAGTGTATTATATAAATGTCCCCATAAGGCTAGACAGGAAGAGGTCAAAGCAGAACAAGCATGGGTAATCCCATGTTAGCCACATTAACATTAGCCACCGCCAAACATGTGCTTCTCGTTATCCGCACCAGTACAACACGTGATTAGACTTGGAATCATTTCTGAAGATGACAAGGGGATAATACACTGTTCGCTCCCGGTAATAAGGCAGTGATGAAACAAAGAAGGGAGTGACTGGGACTTTAAAAGGTCTGGGTGGGATGAGAAAGCAAATGTGCTGAATGGGTACATGCGTGAGCAGAGCAGCTCTGACGCCACACAGCTGGTGTGTCGCAGTCTGATCCCCTCTATATCAAATCAAGGGAGGAACAAACCGAGCATATTTGTGCGTTTTGTAATGGATCCTCTCTGTTATCAGATCCTGATTAGAGTTGGCTCCACACACGGTGGCCCTCGCTCGGCTTCTCTGGTCGTTCTGTGTGCCATCTGTGTGCGATGACTGAATGGTGGCCAGGGTGTTAGTGGCAGAGGCATATTACTGTGCTTGGGTGCTGGGAGATTTTATCCATCTGTTGGCTTTGACATAGAAACACACAAACCACAATGCAGCAGTTAAGAAATGCAGGAGGTTCAAATGATTCTTCACAGCAAAATTGACAAAGTAAAGAAACAAATAAATAAATAAAAACAGTGAAATGTTGCTTGACTTTTATTTAATCTAATTTGTGATTGATGTCTGATACTCGGACCTGGATAGATGCTTTACCATCATTTTGCAATTTTCTTTTCTGGGGTGATCTGGGGGATTTATATATTTGCTCTCTCTTTTGACTTTGGTGTCTGTCGAGAAGTCCCCGTCCAGGAGTCACATGATCACACCAGTAGGCATGGAGGATAACTCAAGCACTCCTGCCTGGAAAGGAACCGCCCTCCTCAGGTGCAACCACTTCAGCAAAGATTATATATACTTCCTCCTTCCTTTGTTCTTTCTTTATTTGACCTCAGCTATAGTGTGTGTGTCCTGTAAGTGAGTTACCTTATTTAATGTTCAGTTTACCTATTATGGTGCACAATTCGCTGTTGAAATTTGATTTCATCTTACCAATTTTGTTCTCTTTTGCAGAACAAAAACCATGCACATACAAATGCAAAGAAATCCAAATGAAATGAAAATAAAATAAAAGCTCTGCATTAGCGAAGCTCGGCTTCCAGCTTCATTTATGGGTCTCCATCAAACACAGTCAGCCTACCCCCCTTAGCCATTAGATTTGAATCTAACAGTGTACTACTGTTGGACATACACATGCAGTCAATTTGAAGGTCAAGCCTTTACATTCATGAAGCATGTGATTATCTTTATAGATTAAAACATACAATACAGCAATATGTAAAAGTAGTTCAAATGAGATTCACTTCAACCAGCGACCACACTGAAATGCTGCTTACACAATAATGCATGAGTGTAATCCAATAAGGATGACACTGAAAAGGGCCAGTCTGCAGCATAATAAACACTTTTACTGTTGATACTTCAGGTACATTTTGCTTCTGATGGTTCTGTACGCCTGCAAAAGTAAAACTGTGGCTCTGGAACTTTTACTTATAATGGAGTAAGTTTATATTGAAGTGTTAAATTATCTTCCATGTAAGTAAAAGTTCTCAACGGCGCTTCAAGTTCTTTTCAGACTTCATACAGATTGACAACTGTCTTTTCTTGGCATCATAACAAGGTAAAGCGAGGCATCTCAGAATCAATGGATCAATCAAAACAGCCTGGATAGCTTTCCATTGTGAGGAAATTGTGTCGTTTGTTTGTGCCTCTCTTCTTCCTCTCCTGTCTCCATCTGATTGTTGGCCTTGCGCTAGAACTTGGCGGCCAAGCTCTCAACGGGCGGGCATGTGGGTGTATGGCTCTGTGTTCACCACAGCTGCAGAGGAGTGTGGGAGAATCACACCAGTAACACAACTTAAGCAATCACACCAGTTATGTCACCTCACAATATTAAATCATGTAGTCAAGAGTGGTTGTTCACCATTGGGTGCCTGGATATTGGCAAGAAGATTTTACTGTCAGCAACCCTAATTAACCACAAGGTTTTTTTTTTTTAACAGAATTGATAAAATTCATTGTATCAATATGGTACGCAATGGATGACTTTCATCAGTGTGAAAAACGAAATCTTTATGGAGCCATTTATATGTC